ACAAATCGGTAGGAAAAGCCAATCCTTCACAGAAAAATAAGCATAGGATATGAACAGACAGCACACAGAAAAGGAAACACAAACAGCCTTTAAATGCATGAGAGTGTGTTCAACCTCACTCAGAGTAAGAGAAATGGACTCACTGGGATACCACTGTTCACTTGTACAATGGAGAAAGATGAAAAAAAATTATGGTAACCACTGCTTGTTGCAGTGGGATTACTTACCTGCATTCCTTGAAGCTTTTACTCCTGGATCATTACATACACTCTTGGACACTTGGTCTTGTTATAATTCTTGGTGATTTCAACATCAATATAGACAGAATTCTTCAGCATGTCTCCTTTCTCTCTCTTGCATCCCCATTTTCCCCTTCCCTACTGGATGTATCTCATCAGCATATGAACAAGCTACATTTTTTCTTGCCCTTATATTGTGCTCCAGCCACCACTCCATTTCTTTGATCCCTTTAAAGCAGCAGTCCCCAATTTTTTGGCACCAGGGACCAGTCTCATGGAAAAAAATTTTTCCATGGATTGGGGGTGGGGATGATTTCACGATGATTCAAGTGCATTACATTTATAGTGCAAACTTCTCTGCTAATGATAATCTGTATTTGCAGTGGCTCCCCAGCGCTAGCATCACCAGCGCTAGCATCACCGCCTCAGCTCCACCTCAGATCATCAGGTATTAGATTCTCATAAGGAGCAGGCAACCTAGATCTCTCGCATGTGCAGTTTTACAGTAGGGTTCGCACCCTTATGAGAATCTAATGCCACTGCTGATCTGACAGAAGGCGGAGCTTATGTGGTGATGTGAGTGATGGGGAGCAGCTGTAGGTACAGACGAAGCTTTGCTCGCTCACCTCCTGCTGTGTGGCCGGGTTCCTAACAGGCCACAGACTTGTACCAGTCCACGGCCTGGGCGTGGGGATCATAGCTTTAGAGCAAAACTCAAGAGTTTCCCTATTCATTGTTTCCAATCTCTCTTCTCCCATTTTTTCTCAAACTCCTGGCCTCAAGCCATCATCATGCCTTGGCCTCCCAAAGTGCTGGATTACAGGCATGAGCCACCGTGCTGGCAGCCCCTTCTTTCTAAGATGCAATCCTATCAGACTTCTTTTTCTGCTCCTCTACTCCACTGAAATGGCTCCTGTTGAGGTCACCAATGTCTTCCGCATTGCTAAATCTAACGGTCAGTTCTCAGTCTTTTCATCATATCCAGGAGCAGCACTTGCTACAGCTGCGCACCGCCTTCTGCTAGGAACGTGTTCTTATCTGGGCTCCGGGGCACGACACTTCCCTGATTTCCCCCTTAACTCACTGGCCACTTCTCGTTCTCCTTTGCTGGTTCCACATCTCCATGACCTCCAAACACCGGACACCCCAGGATTCAGTTCTTAGACCTCTTCTGTTTTCTATCAACGCTCATTCGCCAATGATTTAATTCATTCAAATTTACATCTGCAGCATGAACCTGGCCTCTTTAGAGCCATACTCAGGTTCTCAGCGGCTTTCTCAATTCCCCACCTGTATATTTAGTGAGCACCATAAACATAACATGCCCAAAACAAACTCCTGATCTTCCTCTCCCAAACCTGCTCTTCCCCAAATCTCCCCCTTCTCAGCAAACTCCATCCTTCTAAGTTGATCAGGTTGGAAATCCTTGCCTTTCTCTCTCTCTCTCTCTCTTTCTCCTTCCATAACAAATCCTTTTAGTCCCACGTGTGAAACGAAATATATCCAGAATCCAGCCACTTCTTACAATCTCCCCTATAACATCCCTGGTCTCAGCCTCCCTCCTCTCTCACCTGGGTTATTACAATGGCTTGCTAACTCATCTCCCTACCTCCCACAGGTCATCTTTGACACAGTGGCTAGAGTGACCTTGCTAAAATATGTCAGGTCTTATCATTCTCAAAAGCCCCCAATGGCTTCCATGTCATTCAGAATAAAAGCCAAAGCCCTCACAATGGCCCACGGCCTACATGCAGCCTACAAGGCCCTGCATGGGCTTTCCTTCCTCTGCCCCACTCACTACTTATGACATCATCTCCTCCTACTGCCCCCTTGCCCCAGCCACCCGGGCCTTCTTGCTGTTTGTTCAACGCCACAGGCACACTCCTGCTGAGAACCTTCTTCATCCGGATACATTCATGGCTCACTCCCTTACTTCCTTCGGGTCTTGGCTCAAATGTGATCTTTTCAGTGAGGCCTTAAATACTTTAAAATTGAAAAAACCCTTTCTTAAGGCACTTCCTGGTCTTCCTTGATGGCTTTATCTTTCTCTTAGCTGTTCTCACCATCTAACATGCTATACATTTTATTCATTCATTAGTGCATATCTATCTTCCCTAGCCAATTTTAAGCCCAGGAACACAAGGCTTTTTGCCTCTTTTGGTCACTGCTTCATCCACAGCATGTAGAAGAGATCTCGGCACAGAGTGGATGCTCAAGAATTATTTATTGAACAAATAAACAAAATATTTAACTGGCCAGAGTATAGGGAGTAGGCGTTCTCAAAATTGCTGGTATGAATGCAATTGGTATAACCTCTACATAGTGCAAATTGGCAATAACTATCAAAATTACAAATGCACGTATCCTTCAAACCAGCAATTCTGCTTCTAATATAATAATATCCTCCATATAAATTTACACATGGGTGAAATGACACATGGACAAAGTAATTCACTGTAGTATTTTTGTCCCTGAAAAAGAATGAAAACAACCAAAATGTCCAGCAATAGCAGACTATGTAAATAAATCATGCTGTACTCCTGCAGTGGAATATTTTGCAGTAGCAAAAAATAACGAGACTTCTTGTGTTCTGACATAAGCGCCCAGATCTATGTTTTTCAGAGAAAAAGAAAGGTGCTGAAAGGTTTGCTTAGTATGTCACCATTTTTATAAAAAATAAAGGGAAAGGGTACAAAAAGAATCTATATCTGTATTTTCTGGAATATGTACTATCTCAAAAAGGATACACCAGAAACAGGTAACAAGGGTGTCTTATTTGGAGGGGACTGGATGGGTGGGAGGCAGAGGTGGGAGACATTTTGCTATAAACCCTTTTAAACTTCTTGAAGTTTTGCACCTTGTGAATGCTTTATCTACTAAAAGGAGCATAAGTCATGGTTTATGTTCCGATATGGAATGATACCTAAAATATATTGTTATCAGAAAAAGTAAAATGCAAAAGAGTGTGTACAGTGTGCTATGCATAGGGGTGGGAAGCAGACTTACTTTTTGTTATTTACGCTTTTGTACCTTTTGAATTTTGTGCCTTATCTATGCATTTCCTATTCAAAAAGAAATAAAATTTAAAAAATAAAAAGCACGGCGGGAGAATGCATTTTCACGTGTGTCACCTTGACCTGCCAAGTATTTTCTCATTTATCCAGCGACGGAAACAGATGTTCAGGGAAGTCAAGTGAAACAGTGCAGAGGTGGACCCGGGACTAGAACCTGGTGTTTGCTGACACGACCACACCAGGCTTTCCATCTTGTGCAGCCTATCCCTGGGTGCGGGTTCACCTCCTCCTTTCCTGGCCCCCTCTCTTACCTACCCCCTAATCTTTCTGTCAGGAAGCCAGGGAGAGCAGCTCCAGGAAGTTTGCCACCAGGGGCTTCCCTCAGGGGGCCATGGCCAGTGGCTCCCTGGTCCCCGGGAGTTTTTTTCTCTGCTCAAAGACACCAACACAGTGCCCTGGGGGGCAGCTCCGCACCTCCCTTGAGCCCGTTGCTCTGTGGCTGAACCCAGCACTGCCCAGCTCCCTAGCCCTGTGTCTCCCAGCTGCACCCCAAGCCTGTACCTGTCAATAATGACGGGGTCTGAGGGCGTCTCATTCCGGTTGCCACAGCTCTTCCGGTCACAGCACCGGCTAAAGGAAAGATGAGGAGGGAGGGAAGGAGGAAGCGAGTGAAGGAGTGGAGATTACGGCGTTCGAGGGGTGTGTGTGTGTGTGTGTGTGTGTGTGTGTGTGTGTGTGTGTGGGTGCCCAGGGTGCTGATGTCCTGTCCCTGGCTGGGGAATCCCTGGGCCTGAGGGGTTTAGTTCCAGGGGCCTGAGGAGGGGGCAATGTAGTGAGGGTCCTTGGCAGGGACCTCCAGAGCCTAGTCCTGGGGATAAGGTTGGCCAAGAAAGCCTTGTCCCAAAGGCACGTCACTCCCGGAGGAGCCAGGAAAAAGTAGGCTGCAGGCCACCTCAGGGTCTCCCTGTCTCTGTCCACTTTCATGGAAGCTCAGTCTACGAACAGAAAAGAGCTCAAAAGGCAAGTGTGCAGCCTGTGAACAATCACAAGTGAACCTGCCCATGTAACCAGCACCCAGACCACGAAACACCACGTGACCAGCACCCCAGAAACACCCTCGTGCCCCTTCCTTGTCACTCCCCTCCCCAAAGGTAGCCACCATCCCAACCACAGAATTTTGAACACTTTTTCCTTTTCCATGCAGCACGAACTTCCCCCAAGCACCCAGTCTGACTGGCATCTCCCGGGGAGAGCTTGGTAGAAATGCCAAGCTCTGGAGCAATGGGGCAAAGGAAGCCAAAAGCTGTGTCCCCTCACCCCTACTCTGCCCGGCCAGAGAGCTGCCCTGAGGTTCAAAGTTTCCTCAAAGATTAGCTTCTGAGCTAATCCTGAGGCCTTTGGGTCCTGTCCCAGCCCTGCCCCCACACCCCCAGCTTATTAGCTCAGCTTCCCAGGAGCAGGAGAAGGCCTCGCTCACAAAAACACTTGAGGAAGCCACACAAACAGGCCAGGCTAATGGGGCCTCAGGGACCCTCTCCCCAGCCAGCCCTGTGCCCAGGGGCCTCAATCCTCCCTGCCCGCTTCCCCCACCAGGTTTCCCCAGGGAGCGGTGGCAGAGGGAGGAAGGGCTGATGGCACTGGGAGGGGGCAGGGCCTGGTGGGAGAGTCCCTGGCAACACCCTGGCAAAGGAGGAAGGTGCAAGTAACAGCCCGTCTCACCTGCACATGATCTCATGGGTGAGCAGCACTCGACACATCTCGGGGTTCTTGTCCTGCCCCTCGTAGATGATGGCCTGGGGAAAGGGCAAGGGCACAGGCTGTGGGGGAAGGAGGCAGGTGGCAGTACAGAGTGGGCCAGTGACCCAGGCTGAGGGAGGCCCTGGGCCAGGGAAGTGCACACCTTCCTCTTTGCTCTGGGGGAGCCCAGGAGCGCAAGGCAGGAGCTTAGAACCCGGCTGCCCAGGGGCAGGATAATCCTCTCCCTCTAAACCAGGACCCCCACCACAGTGGCAAGAATGGTATGAGGTCTGCAGATTCTGTGTGTCTACAGCAGCTCTTTCCAGAGCTAGAGCTGCTTGGGGCCAGGGGGGTCCGCAGAGCACCAGGACCGAGGTCAGGCTGCTGGTGGGGGAGAGTCACTTTTATCCTCACCCTGCATCATGGCCCTCCCCTCACCCCTGGGCATCCTGCTGTGTGCAGGCTGTTCCCTGCTCCCAGGCTGCCCCAGACCCCTTGGCTGGGCCAGTGCACCCTTCTACCCGCTGCAGGAGTGCTGACGGCCCAGGGCTTTCTCTGGAGAATTGCTTTCAATGCAGAGGAGCTGTCTCATCTGAAAATGTCTGGGAGGTGACACGCTCCCCTTAGGAGTGGTCCCCAGACAATGACGGACTGATCCATACAGGATAGGAAATCCTGGCCTCCTTGCTTCAAGTGGGGACACGTCTGGTGCCATTCCTTGTCCAGAGCTCCCTGCACAGCTCCCTGTCCTGCCTCCCTCCCTCCCCTTCCCCTGAAAGCTCCTCCCATCTCCCCAATAAATCCATGCACCTGAATTCCCATGTCAGGCTGGTCTGCTAGGGACATGAACTAAGCCAGGGTCTTTTCCAGAACAGACGGCAAGAGCCGCATATCCTCCTGCCATAGGCTGGGGCAGGAAGAGGGGGAAGGGGATGCCGGAGAGGAGGGCAGGACAGGCCTGTGCGCCCCGGGCCGGCTCACCTGCTTGGACATGGAGTCGATGAGCCGCACATACAGGTCCTGCTCCGTCCGAAGTCCTAGGGTAGACAGGTGGAGAGGGCTGGTGGTCAGGAGCATGTGCAGCCTCTGATGACCAGGCCACACCTACACCCTCCCAGCCCTGGCGTGCTGTGTGGTGCAGTCGCGGTGCCCAGACTTGTTCAGGGTCAGGGCTGGGCAGGGGCTGCGGCCCCCACTCACCGCTGTTGTACACCAGCCGGAGGCGGTAGTGGATACCGTTGTTGGTCTTTTCGGCCCCAGGCTCCTGCAGGGACAAGATGGGGAGGACGGTCTGGTGCTCAGGGCTGCTCCTAGCCCCGCCCTCTCTCCCTCCCTTCTGCTCCCCACCCTCCTGCATGCATCCAGCATCCATCCATTCATCTGCCCCAGTGTGTGTGAGGGAGGGGGGTCCTGCCCCGTCCAGTCCCAGCCAAGCCCACGAGCCTCTCACTCGGTCCTTCTCCACGAAGTCGATGAAGGCCGTGCGCTCCACCTCCACGGGCTGCCCCTGCCGGTCGTACATGGCCAGCACGAAGTGGAAGAAATTGGATTTCCTGAGGTTGGAGGGGGGCTGCTTCTCAAAGTGTGCCCGTGCCAGGCCCACGCCACTGTGGGAGGAAAGGAGGCGGAAAACCACTGGAAGGGCCCTGCGGTGAGAAACATCCCAGTGCCTCGGGCCAGGCAGGTGGGTTGGCCAGTACTTGGCTCAAACATGGCAAGAGTTTGGGCAGGAAATCAAATCAGACAGGCCCTTTCCACCCTGGCCAGGGCCATCTGAGTTCCAGATAGAGGTGTCCCAGCACCGGGGTCATCCCAGCCTGCCCTCTTGGTAGCAAGGGGCCCAGCAGGTGACTGCAACTGAGGCAGCCCTGTCAGGCTCCCCCAACCCCCTCAGGCTTTTCCCTGGGCCCCACGTTTTGCAAGGCTGATCTCCAACATCAAATGTACAAACCAGTCCATCGTACTGGCCAGAGGCTCCTGTGACTGCCCTTTAGGACATCAAGGAGCACTCATGAGGCCCTGGAACAAATATCCCGCTGAAGCCCAGCCCAGGCTGAGGAGTCCAGGAGCCTGGAGTGTTTGGCTGGAGAATGACAATGTTCATCAGACCCTCAGAGACACCAAACTGCCTGAAGGTCACTAGTCACTAGTCTGCCCAGCCTGGACCCTGGGGTATGGCTGACGGTGGGGGGGACCCTGCTCGGGGGTAGAGGGACCTGCCTCCGGGTTTGGGGAAAGACAACCACGGGCTCCCTCGGGTAGGAGGGCCTTCTAGTCTGGCCTTGCCAAGGGCCCTCTCTTGGCTCATCAGACACTGTGCCCAGAAGCAAGGACAGCAGGAGGAAGGGAAGAACCAAGGCCCTGTTCGCCAAATATTTCCTGAGCTCCAGTGGTGTCCCCAGCACTGGCCACATGGCAACAAGTGGGGCTGGGATGAAATGCCTGGAAGGAGAGGGAAGACAGACACAGAGAGCTGTGACACAAGACGAAGTGGTAAGTGTCCCCCAGAAGATGTGACCATGCACAAAACTACAGCAACAAAGGGAGAAAACATGACTTCTTTCTGTCAGAGATGAGGGGAAGATTTCACGAAGATGGCAGCTTTCCCCAGGTGCTTGAGGAATGACTAGGAGCTCAAGAGGTGGTGGAGGCACAAGGGCAGAGCAAACAGCCCAAGACAGCTATACGTGTGCGTGCTGGTGTCGCGGGACCACAGGTTTCAAAAAGTGGAGTGAGGGCTGGGCGCGGTGGCTCACGCCTGTAATCCTAGCACTCTGGGAGGCCGAGGCAGGTGGATCGCTCAAGGTCAGGAGTTTGAGACCAACCTGAGCAAGAGCAAGACCCTGTCTCTACTAAAAATAGAAGGAAATTATCTGGACAACTAAAAA